CGCGAAAACGGCGTTTCAATAGCTCTTACGGCTTTCCTACAAATACACTTTGTTCAGCTACTCCTACTGTCCTTTAAGCTCTGCTTCTCAGATCATCAAAGAGTGTGCACGTGTGTAATGAGCGCATATTGAATGTTAATTATGTTAAATATGTTAATTATTAGAAGAAAAAACAACAACAGTCCTTTTGGACAAAATTTCTTTTTATTACAGAATTAGAATAATGGAAGCATAGTCCAAGGAAACCATTCAAGTGATGTCATACCTCATAATTTATTGAGATGTTGGCTAGTCTGGGCATTTCTTCATTCATCAGGTTTCCTGCATGCATACTAACAGAGCACATCAGTAGCAGTGAGTGATAAGTATGAGTGTGTCATTGTGTAAGAAAGAAAGTGGTTTACTTACACATCCATAGAAAATAGGTGGTTGAGCACAGCACGCAAACAAAGCTTTGCCACAACGGTTGAACTTCCCAAGTAGCTGATACCAAGGTCACACAATCATGGTGAGCAAAGGTCAAACCAGGCCAGGCACTCACGAGGCTGGCTGTGGCAAGTGTAAGTGAAAGCAACACGCAATGGCAGGAAGAACAGCAAACACCGATGAAGGAAAAGGGTCTTTGCAGTGATGGGCGTCACCAGAGAGGGCGATGGCCAGAGGGCACGAATGGGACGGGGAGGCGGTCGCGCTGGGGGCGGCGCGACGCGGCTCGGGCCCGCCAGTGCCCCAACGGGGCCCTAGTTTCTTCTTTTTCCTCCCCTTTGAACTGGAAAATGGCCCACTTCCCACCCGCGAAAACTCATGAAATTTGGCAGGACGACTGGGCCTGGTGAAAAATTTGATATTCTGAAGTCGCCCAAACAATAAAATGCAAAATGGCTCCATAGCGCCCCCTAAGGCGAAAATTCACACTATTGACTGTCACGCCTGTACGCTTTGGCAAAATGACACAAAAATTGACACACACGTGTATCTCAATAAGATCTACGAAAAAGTCCATGCGCGCATATCTGTCAAATGTACGGTTAAAGGGTTATTCCACATTTTTTGCCGATCCGTACACATTGGAATTTCGCTAACTCCTCCGAAGGCTTTCGTTCCACCGGCACCAAATTTGCTCAGGCCAATCTACACCCCATGGCCATTAAAAGTTATTCAAATCATGACGCTGCACCCCACGGTTTAGGTTCTAGGGGGCGCCAAAGAGAACCCTAAAATCCACATATTTAAAAGTCTTTTAACTTTTTATTTTTGTCCTCACTGGCCTCCAAGTTTTCTAGGATGATGTAATGTCCAGCCATGAACACATTTGTGAAGGAATTTTTACTCCCCAAAAGAGCGCCCCCCCATGGCAGGAGAAAAAAGTCAATTTTTTCTTGTCCCCTAAGGTGAAAATACATATTGTTGAGATTCACGCCTATACGCTTTGCCATATTGACACAAAATTTGACAATCACGTGTATCTCAATAAGATCTACGAAAAAGTCAATTGGCGCGTATCTGTATAATGTACAGTTAAAGGGCTATTTTGCATTTTTTGCCGATTCGCACACATTGGAATGTGGCTAACTCCTCCTAAGGCTTTCATCCCACTGACACCAAATTTGCTCAAAATCATGACGCTGCACCCCACGGTTCACGTTCTAGGTGGCGCCAAAGATGACCCAAAATCCACATTCTTCAAAGGCGTTTTGGCCACTGAGTGGCGCCAAAGGGACTTGTCTATGGAGTTTGGGAGTCACTATTGGCCGTTTTTGACAACTTTAGATTTTACCTTTATATTTCCTCTTAAAAAATTTTTACCTTGCCTTGCCTGGTATCATTTTTTTCAGCACAACCTCACCTGTGTGAATTTACAGTTATTTTCTCATTTTGACATACTGTATTTACACAATGGACCTAAATTCACACACAAAACATAAAATCCGAGTGGAAAAAAGTAACATTTTTACTGTGAAAACCACAAATATGTGTGATGAACTGTTTTTAAAACTTCAAATAAAAATTGTAAACTTCAAAACATATGCAAATTTTTAACAAAGAACATAGTAATTTACCTCTATTTACATCAAAATGCAGGCAATGGCCCAGGCGTTCTTTGTAAAATTATTTACAAAACACTGTATAGTCTCACAAATGTCACTTTTTATTTATGCCACTACAAAAAAACATGATGTAAATGATGCATGATGTAAAACATGATGTAAAAAACTTGTGTAGATCCTCCATGTCAGTCCATGTGTAATTTTTCCATAATTCTTTGTTTTTTGCAGCATTTTTGTTAGTGTAACTGCAGATTGTGCTGAAAGTGTCTATAGCAAAAAAAAAATAAATAAATAAAAATGCCTCAACATGAACCCCTGGTGGTCTCTGAGGGTGAAACCTGCTAACTGCTGCAGCTCTGTCAGCTTCAGTCTCCCATGCAGAGCTCAGAGCGCATGTGTGGCTCTGCACCCTTAGCAGCATTGCCAACTCCTCAGTAAGGAAAGCCTGCTTCATGTCAGAGTCTCTTAACTCCAGAAGAAGTCGATAAAAGTCCCTTTCTTTCTAAAAAAAAAGTCGTTAGGGGGTCTGAAAAGTCATTGAATCTAACAACAAAGTCGCTAGGTTTGCAACTACGTGTCCCAGACTGCATCCCTGCTGAGAGTCCCTCCCTCCCTTCTCATGTTGCAGGAAGAACGTAAGCGCCCGCCCCTTGTCAATCAGTCACCATATAATTTTGGATTGGTTGTTGTGGTGAAGTTTTCCACCAATAGGAGAGATGTTCTGGTGTGTTTTTTTTTCTTTTGGCAAGCCTTTTCCGCCTGTAAGACCTGTCGCTACTGTCTGCATGCTATGTTTTCCTGTCTCATACAGCGCGATCGAGCGCCGAACGTGATCAAAATAAGCAGAAAAAAAGTATCGCGGACATAATTTATCATAACTCTGGTTTTATTTGGCCTATCAACACAATTTAAAAACTGGTATATAGGTTGAGGTCCTCACTTTGGAGATAACTTGAAACGGAGAGTCAACGAGGCTCCGTCTTGCAGCTACATCCGGTTAAATATGTCATGTGACTTGAACTCACACACACACACACACACACAGACACACGCACACACACACACACACACACACACACACACACACACACACACACACACACACACACACACACACTCAGAGTCTGGTTTTTAGCACCTGCAAAAACATGCTATTTACATATTTGACAAGAATGCAGAGGCTCCTTTTGCCACTGAAAAAAAAATCAAATTTCAAACACAACTTGACTGGTCATTTCTCCAAAAGACAACCATGAAGCTCCATCCAAACCTGAAGCAGGCAGTTGGTGCATGTGTATAGTAACCTGAGGGGAGTGAGGTGACTGCTTCTGAGGAGAACATGAGCAGTGAAGATTCACCTTGGAGCTAGAACAGAGACGTGCACATGATTATACAGGGGCAGGGGCTCAAGTTTTTTCCAGTTGTTTATACAATATGGAAATTAATGTGAAATTAAAAAACAAAGTATTAATAGAAAGGTAATGACTGTCCTGTGTAGGTGACAGTGATATCCAATAGGCTAGGCACTCACGAGGCTGGCTGTGGCAAGTGTAAGTGAAAGCAACACGCACTGGCAGGAAGAACAGCAAACGCCGATGAAGGAAAAGGGTCTTTGCAGTGATGGGCGTTACCAGAGAGGGCGATGGCCAGAGGACACAAATGGGACGGGGAGGCGGTCGCGTTGGGGGGGGGGGGGGGGGCGCGACACGGCTCGGGCCCGCCAGTGCCCCAACGGGGTCCTAGTTCCTCATGTTCTTTTTGAAGGGCATCAGCCCTTAGTCTCTTGACCTGCAGCTGGCTGTCAAGAGATGCAACACGATCTTTGAGTGCCTGCATGTTAGCTGTATTATCTGGCTTCTTTTCTGATGTTCTACAGAGCTCCAACTCCTGTTTTAGCTCTTCCATCTCTTTTTCCATGGCCTGTTTAGCAGCCATCTGTGCCTTGAGCTCATTCTCAAAAGTGTCCATGTTAGGGCCGATGCTGGAGGCCTCCTTCTGCAGCTTTGGACCACCTGAGTTTAGCATAAGTAACTTTTTGTTTTGGGTAGAAACGACACCCAAGAGCTCCTCTTTTGTTCTCTAAAAGTAATAATACATGTCCTGTGGTATGGTGTAGGATGGGTTCAAATGTTTCAGCTTCTCTTTAAGCTGCACAATTACCAATTCACAGCCCTAACAGTGTTCCACTTTTACTTGTTTCTGCAGTTCAGCCACTTTGGTTGTATATTTCTTCTGCAGGGGATCGTTCTTCAGTGTCTCCTGTTTTAGAAGAAAGCTCAATTCCTGTATTTGGCTGTTGAGAGATGCCTCCACCTGCCATCGTGGAGGGCGTACCTGAGGGGCCTGATTGTTAACCTGCCTGTCCCCTTGTGGTCTTTGGTCTGGGGTCTGGTGGTTACCTGGTGGACTCAATACTGCTTTTGGTAAAGGTAGAGGTGTTTCCTTGTTGTTCTGCATTGTAGTTTGTAAATGAGGAACTGTGAAAAAAATCTTTTGAGCCTTCTGGGCTGGTCTCTTGATGGTCTCAGTAGACGCTCTCTGTATACAGTCTCTGTATACGCTCTTTGTATGCAGTCTCTGTAAAGGTTCTCAATAGACGCTCTCTGTAGATGATCTCTCAAGATGCTCTCTTTGAATGGTGTGGTCTCAGATCAAATCTATGGAATAACAATTTGTCACTTGGCTCCTTACTCTGGAGGGCTTTAATGAATAAGAATAAGATTAACTTTATTAGTCTGACCTTGCTTCTCTGCCGTGCAGACGTCTCTCTGCCTGCTCCTGCTGCTTGAGCTTTAATCATTTCTTCATGACTTTTTAATCACTTGACTAGTCTTGGTTTTGATTTTACTTTTCTCTTTTAAGTAAACCAAGATCTTTAAAATCATTTTTGCGCTTTTTACTATACTTTTTACTTTACCGAGTGACTGGATAATACAGCTAACCAGCACCAAGATGCCCCACTTCAGCACGGATGATTACCACAAACTGCTTCAGAAAATTGCAGTGCTAGAGACCAAAATCAACCGATTAGAAGCAAATGTGGATAGAAACGGACGGTGCGGGAATGAAACAACATCTTGTGACCAGAACCATAACACACAGCTGATCACTATCGACCAAGAAGACTACGGATCCTCCAATGCCTCTTCTTCGGATTCCCTCGGAGCTAAACCCAAATCATCTCACTGGAATATGGGAGGACAAGTAACAAGCAGAGCCCAGCACCCTAAGATCTGTGATGAGACTGGCTGGCCTAAACTATCTTCAACACCTGTCCAGCGTAAGAAGCAGCCATGGATAGCTGCCAAAGGAGGCCCTAAAATCAAAAACAATCTCCCCCCGCAGCAGCCATCCCTCTCACTGCACAACAGATTTGCTCCACTGCTACGGAATCCTGGATCCTCATCTCCGCATAGCAGGGTAAGATCTGAGAGAAAATCAAAAAACGGGGAACCTCAAACATTGATTGTGGGTGATTCTGCTATAAAAGACATACAAAACATGAGCAAAAACAGCAAAGTGCTCTGCTTCCCCAAGGATATGGTCTGTGACATAACAGGCAAAATTCAGGATATAGTGGCCTCATATCCCTCTCTGACAGCTATTGTGATTCACTGTGGAGCTAATGACATTGTAACAGAACAATCTGAAAAACTAAAACGTGATTTCAGTGAACTATTAAAAACAGTCAGCTCCCTGAATGCTCAGGTATTCATCAGTGGCCCCCTTCCACCAATCAAAAGAGGACATATGAGATTTAGCAGACTTTTTGCCCTTCACCTCCAACCTGTATCACTCCCTGCGTCACCCATCTGTCAAGGACAAGAGACAAGAGGCAAAAAGACATGAGATAAAACACCACGGCCTTGACAGAGAGACGCCTCGGGCCCCCCCGAGCACAAAAAGCTTTGGTTCAAGCCAGAAGGAGGAGTCTGTACTTCTTCTACCACCGCTCTCCTTAGAGGACCCACCCTGCTCAAGCAAGGAGGAGGAATCTCTACTTCCTGTATGCCCACCTACCGAGGAAGACGTGCCCTGTCAAACGTCACCCATAGCATCCTCCTCCCTGGGCACACCATCCCCCTCCTCCTCCCTCCTGGATTTTCCAGCTGAACTGAGAGAACTGGAGAATGCTGGAGTGAGACTTAGCGGCACGCCTCTCCACCACTCCAGCCACAGGACCGTCCTCCCCCCTCCAAACCCCCCAAATCGCCCCAAATCCACCAAACAGCAACGTGCCCCTCCTCCTCCCCCACGACAAGGAGTACTGCAGCATCCTCTCCCCCAGCGTGATAAGAGCACAGGACTAACAGTGAGGAACACCTCGTTCACAATAAGCTCTTGCTGATATGTTTTGGGTCCAGGCAAGGATAACTATAGTTATATCTCTTCCCAGGACAGCCTGCGGCCCGATGAGATAACGCCACCAATCCCAGTCATAATAAGTAATAGACATACTAATCTGCCTAAAAACAGAAGGTATCTAACTAAGAATTTATCAAACTTAGTCCCCATCCCCCGTCAGCCCATCATGAAAACCAGTACAGAAAATTTCTCTAGCACACTACACTCAGCTCTTTTAAATGTCAGATCTTTAGCTGGAAAATCATTCTTAATCAACGATCTTATCATCAAGCACAATCTCAACTTAATGTTTTTAACTGAAACCTGGTTAGAACAAGATAACAGTGCAACTGTACTTATTGAGTCAGCCCCCCCTAACTTCAGCTTTATGAGTGAAACGAGGAAGCATAGAAAAGGAGGTGGAGTAGCTATTCTATTCAAGGACTCAATGCAATGTAAACAGATGTACTACGGGAATTTTCCTTCCTTTGAATATGTGGCCTTCCAGTTGAACTCTGCTACTAGAGCAATATTCCTTAACATCTACAGACCTCCTAAATACTGTGTGAATTTTTTTGATAACTTTACTGAATTGCTGTCTATAATCTGTATTGACTTTGACTGTGTAGTGATTGTTGGTGATTTTAACATTCAAGTTGACAACCCCCAGGACAGAGGCACCAAAGAATTGTGCTGTCTCCTTGATAACTATGGTTTGACCCAACATGTAACAGAGCCCACACACAATAGAGGTCACACTCTAGACCTAATTATTTCCAAGGGCCTGAACATACCCAAAATTATGGTTACTGATGTTGCTATTTCTGATCACTCCTGTGTGTTTTTTGAGAGTACTATCTCTATGTTATTCACCACTGCTCAGACAGAGGTAATCACCAAGCGGCTTATCACTGACTACACCAGTGAAATATTTAATCAGGCTTTGACTCCTCTCCCAGCTCTCTCACGGCTCTCGGTCAATGAGCTTGTAGAAGACCTTTGCTCTAGAATCACAAATGTGATGGATGCCATTGCGCCCACCAAGGTGAAAATAGTCTCTGGCAAGAAAAGATCTCCATGGAGGAATGCCGCGCTGGTCAGAGCTGAAAAAAGAGAGTGTCGGAAAGCCGAACGCAGATGGCGAAAGACAAGCCTTCAGGTTCACTATCAGATCTATAAAGAGAGACTTCGTATCTTTAACCTAGAACTAAGAAATGCTAGACGATCCTTCTTCTCAGACATCATCACCAAAAAAAAAATAATGCACGCGCCCTATTTACCACAGTCGACAGGCTAACAAACCCTCCAGTATCAGTAGCCTCTGAATTTCTGTCTGCCAAGGCTTGTAATGAATTTGCCTCCTTCTTCAATAACAAAATCCAGAAAATTAGACAAACAGTCAGTAGCTCAATATCCGGTACAGGATATGTGTTGTCCATGTGTACTAACCCCAGTAGCATGACACAATTCAACCCGATCAACATTAAAACCCTGGAGGACATCATACTAAATCTGAACTCCTCCACCTGCTGCCTTGATATTCTGCCAACAGGTTTCTTTAAAACAGTTTCTAATTGCATTGCCTCAGATCTTCTACAGATTGTCAACATGTCACTTCTGTCAGGTGTCTTTCCACAGGCCCTGAAAACTGCTGTCATAAAGCCTCTCCTAAAAAAAAGCAACCTAGACAACTCAGTAATGAACAATTATAGGCCTATATCGAACCTCCCGTTTTTAAGCAAAATCATTGAAAAAGCAGCCTTCCAACAGCTTCACAACTTCTTAGTCCTAAACAATTGTTTTGACGTTTTCCAGTCAGGGTTTCGACCGCATCACAGCACTGAGACTGGTCTTATCAAAGTCTTTAACGACATCCACTTAAACTCAGACAATGGCAAAATCTCAGTCCTAGTATTGCTCGATCTCAGTGCCGCTTTCGACACGGTTGACCACAGCATCCTACTCGATCGACTGGAAAACTGGGTGGGACTTTCTGGAACAGTACTAAACTGGTTTGCATCCTACTTAAAGGATAGAGACTACTTTGTGTCTCTAGGTAATTACACATCAGAGCGAACAAAAATGACATGTGGGGTTCCCCAAGGCTCCATTCTGGGGCCACTCCTGTTCAACATTTACATGCTCCCTCTAACTCAAATCATAGCAAACAACAAAATATCTTACCATAATTATGCAGACGACACACAGATTTACATAACCATATCGCCAGGCGACTACAATCCAATGCAAACACTGAGTCAGTGTATTGAACAAATCAACGATTGGATGTGTCAGAATTTTCTTCAACTAAACAAAGATAAAACTGAAGTAATTGTATTTGGAGCAAAAGACGAGCAATTAAAAGTCTGAGCTCAGCTTCAATCGATAATGTTAAAAAGCACAAACCAAGCCAGAAACCTTGGTATTGTCATGGACTCAGACCTGAATCTTAACAGCCACATAAAGACAATTACAAAGTCAGCCTACTATCACCTGAAGAATATATCAAGGGTCAAAGGACTGATGACCCAGCAGGATTTGGAGAAGCTTGTCCATGCATTTATCTTCAGCAGACTTGACTACTGTAACAGTGTCTTCACAGGTCTCCCCAAAAAATCCATCAGACAGCTCCAACTGATTCAGAATGCTGCTGCTCGAGTCCTCACTAAGACCAAGAAAGTAGATCATATCACCCCAGTTCTCAGATCTTTACACTGGCTTCCTGTCTGTCAAAGAATTGATTTTAAGATACTATTGCTGGTTTATAAAGCACTGAATGGATCAGGACCAAAATACATTTCTGATATGCTGATACGTTACGAACCATCCAGACCGCTCAGATCATCAGGAGCAGGTCTGCTCTCTGTCCCCAGAGTCAGAACTAAACGTGGAGAAGCAGCTTTTAGTTTTTATGCTCCTCATATCTGGAACAAACTCCCTGAAAACTGTAGGTCTGCTGAAACTCTCAGCTCTTTTAAATCACAGCTGAAAACGCATATGTTTGCTGTGGCCTATCATTAAATCAAACCTGAGGCCTTTAATCAACATCTTCATCATCTGCCTGTCTTGATCTTTTTTTTTTCTATCTCTCCAATCTAACCTTTGTTTTCTTTTATCTCCAATCTTATTTTAGCTTTGAATGTAACTTTTAATCTGTTAAATGTCTTTTACGCTGTTTCTACTTTTTAAATTGTGTTGAATGTTTTGCCTGCTTGTTTCATGTAAAGCACCTTGAATTGCCCTGCTGCTGAAATGTGCTATACAAATAAACTTGACTTGACTTGACTTGACTAGTCTCCAAAGGGAAATTCAATTGTCTGTTGTCTCATAAAATATGTCTCTAACAGTTATCTACTATTTACACAAGAGTTATAAAGCCTAAATGCTGTTGGTACAAAAGATCTTCTGAAACATTTCTGGATGTGGCAGGACTCAGTGCTGTATTTGAAGTCTGACGTATACAGTGTGAACAGGAATGGCGCCAGCACTGTCCCTTGTAGAGCCCCTGTACTGCTCATTAATGTCCCAGAAACTCAGTTTCCCAGCCTGACAAACTGTGGCCTTCCTGTCGGGTAATCTGTGATCCAGGAAATACAGGAAGGATCCACTCCCATCTCTGTGAGCTTGTCTTTTAGTATGGTAGGTTGGATGGTGTTGAATGCACTTGAAAAGTCGAAGAACATGATCCTCACATAAACCCCAGGTTCCTCCAGATGAGACAGGGCAGGGTGAAGCATGTAGAGGACAGCATCATCCACTCCAATGTGTTCTTTGTATGCAAACTGCAGGCAATCCAGTTTGTCTTTGACCTCAGACCTCAGGAGGCGTGGAATCAGCCGCTCCAGGGTTTTCATGATGTGTGAAGTGAGGGCCACTGGTCTTTAGTCATTGAGTTCAGCAGGACAATTTGTTTTTGGCAGTGGCTCAATGCAGGATGTTTTCCACAGAGTAGGTACCCGCCCCAGCTGTAGACTCAGGTTGAAGATATTGTGGAGAGGTTGACACAGTTCTGCAGCACAGTCTCGAAGCAGCTTTGGACACACACCAACTGGACCAGCTGCCTTCCCAGGACAAAGTCTTCCAAGCTCCATCCTCACCCCTGTTTCAGACAAGGACTGATGTTCTAGGAGGGAGGCAGTTGAAGTGGTTGAGAAGTTGTAGTGGAAATGTTTTGCAGAGAGGAAGGTGGAGTAGCAGTGGGAGTGGGTGTGACAGCAGTGTCAAATCTGTTGAAGAACAGGTTGAGTTCATGAGCTCTTCCCGGATAACCAACACTGGTTGTCTTTTCTTTTTACTGCTGTGTCCAGAGATGGTACTGATTTAATAATAATAACAATAATAAATTTAATTTGTAATGCCCTTTACATTTACAAGAAATCTCAAAGTTCTATAATACACAGTAAAAAAGAGCAGCAACAATAAAAAGCAATAGAATGTCAGTCACAGATTAGCATAGCAAGCATAAAAGAATAAAAATAAATAAATAAATAAAGAATATAGAATTGCAGTGCAAAAGGCAGGTAGTAAAAAGCATAAAGGAAGCTAACAAAAGGCTTTATTAAAAAGGAAGGTCTTTAGGGCTCTTTTGAAGGAGTCCACAGACTGAGGGGCCCTTAGGTGGTCTGGGAGAGAGTTCCACAGTAGTGGGGCGGCTGCGTAAAACGCTCTGTCTCCCATGGTCCGCAGTTTGGTGGGGCGGACTTTGAGGCGGTCTTTGTTTGAGGAGCGGAGGTTTCTGGTGGTGGGCTGGGGCTCGAGCAGTTCCTTTAGGTAGAGGGGGGCGTTGCCGTAGATGCATTGGTGGGTTAGCAGGGAGACCTTGTATTCAGTACGGAAGGGGATGGGGAGCCAGTGCAACGAATGGAGGATGGGAGTGATGTGCTCATATTTGCGCACCCTCATCAGGACCCTAGCTGCACTGTTTTGTATGTGTTGGAGCTTTTGGAGGCTCGTGCTAGGGGTCCCGATGAGGAGGGCATTACAGTAATCCAGCCTGGAGGAGATAAAGGCGTGGACCAGTTTTTCGGTGTCGGGGAGGGTGAGGGTGGGGCGGAGTTTAGCAGTGCTTCTGAGGTCGAAAAATGATGTTTTGCAGAGGAATTTGATGTGGGTTTCGTGGTTGAGGTGGGGGTCCATTTTCACACCTAGGTTAGTGACAACAGATGATAGGGGGATGGTCTGACCAGAGAAGGTGATGCCTGTTATGTGGGATGACTGTATTTGGTGAGGGGTGCCGATGAGAATGGCTTCGGTTTTCGAACTGTTTAGTTGCAGGAAGTTTTTTGTCATCCACGCCTTTATCTCCTCCAGGCAAGTGGTGATAGTGGTGGATGGTGAAGGTGGTGGGGTTTTCAAGGGGACTGCAGAACGGGGTGGGTGGGGTGGGTCCAGTTTTAAGTAGAGCTGTGTGTCATCAGCATAGCAGTGGAAAGACAATCCATGGTTGCTGATGACACGGCCTAAGGGGAGCATGTACAAGGTGAAAAGGGTGGGGCCAAGTACAGATCCCTGGGGGACACCACAGGTGACAGGTTGGGGTTGGGATTTAGCACCACCCAGGGAGACACACTCCGATCTTCCTGTCAGGTAGGACCGGAACCAGTCCAGGGTGGTGTCGCAGAGTCCGATGGTGTGATGAAGGCGGTGTAGGAGGATGGTGTGATCTACAGTGTCAAAGGCGGCGGTGAGGTCCAGGAGGATGAGGAGGGAGGGGGAACCGCTGTCAGCAGCCATGAGGATGTCGCTAGTGACTCTGACCAGTGCTGATTCAGTGCTGTGGGCAGAGCGGAAGCCAGACTGGAATTTTTCTGAGAGGTTGGAGATTGGCCGGTAGTTACCAAGGACATCCGGGTCTAGTGTGTTTTTTTTTTAGAAGGGGTGTGATAATGGCAGTTTTTAGTGCTGAAGGAATGTGACTGGACTGTAAGGAGTGATTAATTGCATTGGTGATCAGGGGGCTTATGGCTTGGGTGTGTTGTCTGATCAGAGCTGTGGGGAAGGGGTCCAGGGGGCAGGTGGAGGGCTTCATTCGCCTGATGGTGTCCTCAACCTCTTGCTGCGTTGTGGGAGAAAAGTGTCATAACCCAGCTCTTAAGCCATGACATATATGGAAAAGGACACAGTGTAGGGCAGGAAGTAAAGATTTATTTTAACAAAGTGGACACTTAAACAATAATTTGTAAATATGGAGTGTGTTAGTCAGTGATATCAGTCGTGTAAGTGTGGATGTGTGAGTAATGAAGTGTAGGGTGTTGAGGGGTGAAAATAAACCAAAGTTAAACCAAAGCAAAAAGCCTGCGACAGCAGGCCTGTGGCAGGGTCAGAGGAAGAGAGCGAGCCGCACTGGAGAAGGACCTTTTATGCTCTGTGGCAGCATTAGGCACAGGCGCTTCACTTGTCTGCCACACCCACTCTCTCCCAGGTAACCCTGCAGGGAAAACATGAAGCGGCTCCACCAGGATTAGTCCACCTGACCCCCAGTTAGGCAGGGCCGTCACACAAGCAACAGAGAGGCTGGGGGGCCCCAGACTGTGGGTAGGCAGTTGGGGCAGGCAGAGTGGAGGGAACGGAGAGGGCTGAACGGATGTTGTTGACTTTGGACCGGAAGAAAGCATGGAAGTCATTGCACTGATCAGCTGTGGAGACTTTGTTTGTTGCGGTTTGAGGTTGTAGGAATTGATTTATGGTTGAAAAGAGCTTCTTGGAGTTGCCGGGGCTATTGTTGATGATGTTTGAGTAGAAGTTTGACTGAGCGTCTCTGAGGGCCTTTGTGTAGGCCTTTTGATGGTCCCTGTAGGCCATCTTGTGGACTGTCAGCCCTGAGGCCTTAAGCCGCCTTTCAAGGGCACGCCCAGCTGCCTTCATTTTACACAGCTCGCTTGTGAACCATAGAGCTGAACGTGAGAAAGTGTCTTGTTTTAACTGGGGCATGAGTGTCCAGAAGAGTGCTGAGGGATTTATTGTAGTAGTCCACTGATTCAGTTGCTGATGAATGGGTGGCCTTGGAGAGGTGATGGAGGTCCAAAATGAGGGAGTGAGAGTTTATGTGTTTTAGGTCTCTGAATTGGATTTGACATTTTGGCTTGGTGTGTGAGGGGGGGAAAGGCAGTTCCATGGAGATGACCAGGTGATCAGACACGCCCAATCCGTATGTGGCCAGATTGCTAAGTGGGGCGGAGTTTGTGATGATTAAGTCCAGTGTGTTGCCTTTACTGTGTGTGGGGACATGTACGTGTTGTGTAAGATTGAGGCAGTCCAGCAATTGTAGAAATTCAGCAGCAAAGGGGCAGGAGGGATTATCGACATGGATGTTCATATCGCCGAGGATTATGATATTTCCTGGTGTGGTGCAGAGCGATGTGAAGAGGTCGTGGATTTCAGAAATGAAAACTGAATTTGGTTTAAGCTTGGGTGGCCGGTAAATTAGCAGTATTGTCGTATTGTAGGGTGGTTTACATTTAATTGCCATGCATTCAAAGGAGGATGGTGAAGGGAGGGGAAGGGAAGACAGATTGAGCTCATTTTTATAAAAAATGGCTAAACCACCACCTACCCGACCAGTGCTGCGAGCTTTCTGGAAGTAGCAATAACCAGGAGGACAGGCTTGATGTAAGGCAGAATAGACCTCAGGCTGGTGCCAGGTTTCAGTGAGGCACATGAGGTCCAGGTCCTTGTCCACGATGCGATCATGAATGAGTGTTGATTTGAGTGTGAGTGATTGTGTATTGAAAAGTTCCATTTTTATTGTTGGTGAAGTGATGAATCTCTGAAGAGGTCTGAGAGCACTGTGATCCACACCGCGTTTTACATGCAGCCCAGTTTGCAGCGCTCTTGTGGTGTTTCGCGTGCTGACAATACTGGGAACACCGTAATCCACTCCGTATTTTGGAAGCTGCCCAGACAGCAGCGCCTTCACAGTGTTTCCGGTGCTACATACTCCAGGAGCAGCAGCACTCTGATGACATGACGGTGTAGCAGCGGTGCGCACAGCTGGGCAGGTGGATGGGGAACGGTGGACGGGCTGGGAGTAAACAAACTGTTGGCGAGAGCTTCGGTGAATGTAGCGCGGTCGGCGGAGAAGTCCAAGTTGTTTGAAGAGAGAAACACACGGTGGAATGATGTGTTTATTGAGTTCCAGCAGGCGTGAGGAGGAGTACTTCAGCATCATGCCAGACGGGACTCGGGACATTGTGGATCCTGATGTTAGCTGTTAGCCGCTAACCAGGCTAGCTGAGGTGCGCTGGGGGCTGCAGAAAGGCAGCTCCGGTTTAGCCCTGACCGCTCCGGGACTACATGCAGTGCAGCCCGGGATAGATTCTCTATCTTCTTTTTGTACTCCATCTTGGCTATCTTTAGTCTCCTCTTCAACTCTTGTTGCACTTGTTTGAGTTGTTCTTTGTCGCCCTCTTTAAAAGCTTTCTTTTTTTAGGTTAAGGATTGCTTTTATGTCTCTTGTGATCCAGGGTTTGTTGTTGGGGAAACAGCGAACAGTTTTTGGGGTATAACTGTGTCTCTACAGAAGTTGACACAATCAGTGAAGCAGTCGACCTGTTTGTCAATGCTTATACTATCCACATCTGTTTCCAGCAGCACATTCCAGTCTGTTGATTTAAAACAGTCCCTTAGAGCATCACTGGCTTGAGGTGTCCATCTTCTGATTTTGACTTTGGTCACAGGCTGCCTCAGCACACAAGGTCTGTAACAGGTTTGCAGATAGACCAAGTTATGATCTGACTTGCCCAGTGGTGGTAAGGCAGTGGCTCTTTAGGCTTCTCTGACGTTGGTATACAGCAGATCCAGGGTCTTGTTTTTTTCTGGTTGGACAGTTCACAACCTGTGTGAGAGGAGTCAGGTGAGTCAGGTGAGAGGAGAGGGTGACATGGTTGAAGTCTCCTGATATCATTATTAGTGCCTCAGGCTGTTGAGTCTGTAGCCTGGCAACACTATTTTGCAAAACATCGCAACATTCTTCAGTTGATTTGGGTGGTATGTAAACAACTACTGTTATGACATGACTAAATTCTCTTGGAACATAATATGGCCGAAGAGCAACGGCCAACGGTTCAATATCTGGACAACACAACTTCTTGAAAGTTATGTTTGAAGGGTTACACCATCTCTGGTTGACAAATAAAGCCAGACCTCCTCCTTTCTTCTTGCCACTAGCTTGAGCATCTCTGTCTGACCTTATAAGAGTGAAACCAGGTAGATCCACACTAGAGTCTGAGTTGTTTTGATTCAACCAGGTTTCAGTAAAACACAGGAAACTGCACTCACGGTATGCTTTCACAGTCTTCACCAATATCTCCAGCTCATCGCTTTTGTTGGGCAGAGAGTTGACGTTTCCCATGATGATTGATGGAAGAAAGGGTTTATATCGCCACCTCCTAGCATTCAGCTTTGCCTTTACCTTTGCACCAGCCCGACAACCACGATAACACCTCCTGATGTCCTCTGGAATTGTATGTTGTTGCCCAGATTTGCATTTCCTCAATGAAAGGAGCTCTTCTCTTGAGTAAACTCTTCATCCAGCAAAAGTATCCATCAGCAGCCAATAAAAAGACAAAAAAAATCTAGCAAAAATTACAGATAATGCAGAGAGACTGGACTTGCAGCAACCTCTCGGTTCAAGCGCATAATTTGATTTGATGATAATACCACTGTAACATCACAATGGCAGAAGTCTGTTCCCTTGATTTTTTTTTCCAACTGTGAACAACTTTATTCAAAACATATCACAAACATTACAGCATTAAAACAGGGCTATAGATATGTTGTAATCACAACGAATGGCAGTTAAATGAAACATATATTGACAGAACAGATTAAAACAAAATTGTAAATCCAGTACATCACAATGGCAGAATTGAGCTTCCTTGTGATTGGTTCTCAAAGAATTTATTGACTGTCTGTGATGTCATAAAAAACAAAATGGCTGCCCAACTGCAGTGGAATGCCCAACCCAACATTTTTTTTCCATAAACAAATTTATTCTCACCTTTAATTCAGCCTTAAAAGGAATGCAGTGACTCTGGTCACTGAAAGGAGATGGGGGGTGAATTTCCACACCAAACCATGGTATTTTTACAACCTCCTGTCTGTGGGAAAATAACCAAGAGGTGATCCGAAAGACAGGCAGTCAATCTTTTGCATTTTAAAGAGACAAAGTTGCTAATTTCCAGCAGGACCCCCGAACTGGATTAACATTCACCCCTCTGCTATTGGCTTGAGACTCCTAAATTTGACACCTTAACTTTAAAGGTACCTTAGAAGATCATAGGAACTCATCTCAAGAGTGCATCAAAAGCATTCATCTGTGAAACAGACCACAGCCATAAATCCTCAGAGTGTCTGTGTTTCCTGTGACTCTCTTTAGGTGCAGAATAAAGAGAATAACTGCAAGTTATTCAATTTCAGGTTTAATGGACACTTCATCAGGATTTCTTATCTGTACACCACATCAACAGTGAAAAAGTCTTTGTCCAATTTGTTTAGCACGTCTATAAGCCAAACTGCTAACTTCACAAATTTATTCCCGGTTTTCTATGGACCAAGAGCTCCCCCTAGTGGTGTTTTCTGAATATGGTTTTGGTCAGAATCCAAATGTGTATTCCTTGAATTTAAATATGTAGCATGTTATATACTTTGTAGCTTAGTGAATGGTTTTCCCAAAATAGGTTAGCAATATTAGAAATAGTAACTGAAAACTCTTTCCAACATGAGTTAAGAATGTTTTGATCGTTTTAATGTTATGTTTGTCTACCTCATCAGAATATATATTTTAATCATTAACGAAGTACAGATTGACAAGATTTTTTCCAATTAAATGTTATCACATATGTGTTTCTTATGCGTGATGGTGTTTCTGTTAGACAGATAACTTGGTTTTATCCCTCTCTAACTTTCCAAGAGCTTCTTAATCCTCAGGTTATAGACTACCAGGAAAACTTGTGATTAAAGTTTACCTTGCATATAATGTTATGGTGCATAACCCATGCATCTGCTCATAAGAAACGATAAAGTGAATCTTTATCATATGTGATTTGATAAACAGCATTAATCTTAGTGGGCAAGTAAATTAGATCGAACTCGCTTATTAATCCTGCAAGTAAAAATCAATTCGCTTGCCAGCCTGATCAGCCCCCGCTGTGAACAATGGGTGCATGAGCTCAGGCCCCTCTCCTTTGGTTCACGCCCCACATGAATGGGTTAAAAGCACTGAGCTGATGCTACTCACGCTGTTATCATCTTTGCTCTTATCGTCATTTCCGGCGGAGAACTTCTCGCCGAACCATTAAGCATCTGGTCCAGTAGCCAGGAACTTTCAGCCTATCCACTCCAATATTGCAGCTGAGAACCGACATCAAATAAGTAGGCAAACCCCTCAACACTGCTGTATCCACTGGGTGATGCTGTCAAGCGTTCAGTGGCTTATACCCTTAATTATAGTTTAGTTTCTCCAAATTCCTCTTCAAAATTTATCCTCGTAACTCTGTTAACGTAGGTTAAATTTTTCCTTATTCACTCACAATCATTAACGTCCAGTCTTGGTCTCAATTCAAACCATTCCTTTATTTGTTCATTAAATGTTCTTTTGTTTTCTCATTATTTGATCATCATTTATTGAATTTATGTTGTCATCTAGCATTTGTCAATAAATTGTCCATTTAATTCTAAGTTGTCGTCTCTTAGTGGTCCTTCCAGAAGTAAGGTCCCTGAAATGAGAATTACGGCCTCAGATGTGAGATTGATTTAAATCTGTTTAAGACTGATTCAACACTTAATTACTGATTGTCTTTTTCCCATCAGAAAAAGGTGGGTGGTGCCCCTTTAATGAGTGCATAAATGTCATAATTTGATTCTATTATTTTAGGACATATATTATTCAATTCGCTACAAGTGCGATATAATTAAAAGCCAAACCGGCTTAAACGTCACTCAGGTTTACAAGGTCTACGTCACATGCTTGAGGAACCAGGGCATTGTGATGACAGATGGGCTACTGGAACAACAAAGAGAAGGCAATGGACACGAGATGAGAACAAGGCTCTGTTGGAATGCTACTACTCCAGTAACCCTAACCAGTAGGGTTTTATGAACTGCTGAGGGATATATAGTTGCTTGGATACCCACAGTCAATGCTAACACCAAAACGGCTTGTAGCTAAGTGTTCCAACATTCACAAATGGCAGCGGCTATCACGATTGAGGAGATACAACACACAAATGCTACAGCAAGGGGGAGCCAGGACGCCAGGTCAGATGGGGGAGTTAACATTGACTCCCCCCCAGAGATAGGGTACCAAGCCCCAGAGTTGAACAAAGAGCTAACTGACCTGAGAGATAAGATCATGGCTAAAATGTGCTCCTGTGAACCCCAACACATGAAGTACCTCCAGTATCCAATGGATACAGACAATTCCCACTACAAGACCAATGATATACACTCACCGGCCACTTTATTAGGTACACCTGTCCAACTGCTCGTTAACACTTAATTTCTAATCAGCCAATCACATGGCGGCAACTTAGTGCATTTAGGCATGTAGACATGATCAAGACAATCTCCTGCAGTTCAAACCGAGCATCAGTATGGGGAAGAAAGGTGATTTGAGTGACTTTGAACGTGGCATGGTTGTTGGTGCCAGAAGGGCTGGTCTGAGTATTTCAGAAACTGCTGATCTACTGGGATTTTCACGCACAACCATCTCTAGGGTTTACAGAGAATGGTCCGAAAAAGAAAAAATATCCAGTGAGCGGCAGTTCTGTGGGCGGAAATGCCTTGTTGATGCCAGAGGTCAGAGGAGAATGGCCAGACTGGTTCGAGCTGATAGAAAGGCAACAGTGACTCAAATAACCACCCGTTACAACCAAGGTAGGCAGAAGAGCATCTCTGAACGCACAGTACGTCGAACTTTGAGGCAGATGGGCTACAGCAGCAGAAGACCACGCCGGGTGCCACTCCTTTCAGCTAAGAACAGGAAACTGAGGCTACAATTTGCACAAGCTCATCGAAATTGGACAATAGAAGATTGGAAAAACGTTGCCTGGTCTGATGAGTCTCGATTTCTGCTGCGACATTCGGATGATAGGGTCAGAATTTGGCGTCAACAACATGAAAGCATGGATCCATCCTGCCTTGTATCAACAGTTCAGGGTGGTGGTGGTGGTGTCATGGTGTGGGGAATAT